ATTCATGGTAACGAAATAAAATGACAAGCATGTATCAAATAAATCTGCTCACCTGCAATTTATAATGGCGCATTGTAGTCACCTTCGTGCACGAAAGTTCGTTCAATCTCAGCTGCTCAACATTTTCAGTTATTTGCTGTTGTATCGCCGATTTTCAAAATGCAAATGATCTGTTTATTTTCAAAGAATAGTTTGTTTTGTTATTGTTTGGTTGGTGTCTTATATGAAACTGCGACATTGCGCAATTTATTGGACAGACTTGTTAAAGATCACACAGCGTAATTTGGGTGGCATTTAATTTCGTATTTTTAAATCATCTTTTTATTTTGAACAATATCTGTAAATTTAGTTTCCTGCTCTTAATTGGGAATACATACTTGATGGTTTTAAATGCTCCTGAAATTAAGTGCTGCTTGACCAGCCTGTATTGTGTATCTATGTGACGTCACTGAAGGCCTAAGGTTGAAATGCACGGCCCGCCACTGGTCAGTATTATAGAAAAAGTGGTACAGAAAATAGATGGCTATATTGAGGATTAAAATATGCACAAATGTGCAGTCCATCTTAAAATTTAGTTAATAGCACCATATATTGGTCATCTAAAAAATTGGAAAGAGACTTGTGTGTTGGCACACACTGTAGTTTCAGTTGTCCGTCAGCCAAATTGATTGGTTTTACTCAGAGTATGATTGCCAGATACCCTGCACATGAAGAAATGTCTGTTACTGGGTCTATAAATAGTTTCAGGGAACTTGTGTTTGCATTTTTCATGAGGGGCTTACAAATATGTAAAAAATTATGCCCATGAATGCCATACATACACTGTGAGACATTACACCAATCCAATCCAAAGCAATTTTACTAGTTATTCTACGTAGTTTACAGTCACGATGTGTTGCGTTAAAGTTTAATACAAGACCTGGATGTCTCACTTTAATCAATAGGCTTCAGATAATATTATAAAGACAAGACAGAACTCAAGTTTATCTGTTGGTCAGATCAATGTGACTCATCGTGAGGCATACTGTCTGTGCTAGACCAAGAGAGGTCCATTTTATTGATCAAATGTCTTTCTCTTTCTACCTTAGAAAAAAAAACAAATGGTAGATTATTAACCACTGTGTCTTCACAAAGGTTTCTCTATACACACAGTGATATGCCACCCTTCATCGGTGGGTGGTGTGTATTTGCATGAAACCACGAGCAAGTGTACACATGCTTGTGAGTGTGTGTTACTACGTGTGACTCTGCTTTATTGCAGCTTGCGCCTGTAAAAGTGGAGCACTGATGTCACACGAAAAACAAGGTGGGGAGCTATAAAGGCTGAAATCTAACATCCTCCATCCTGTGTTGAAGTGTACATGTGGACAGGGTCACATCGAGGAAATATTTGGTATGTCTTGATATTGTATTTGATTTTAAAAAATTGCATTTTTAGGTAACAGAGCAGCTCAAAAATGTATTAACTGCTTGAATTTTCCTTTTTTATTAATTAATGTATTTATTTTTACCTGGTTCCTTGATGTGCATAACATTGAACATTCTCTGTTTTTTTAAGCGCAAGGCAAGGTTCTTCCACCTTCAGAAATTGTACGTCTCAGCATTTGGGGTTTCAAGACGATCACAATGTGTTCTGGGGGCTTTGCCAAGTGTCTGGGGATCAGTTTGATACCCCTGGTAATTGTGTGTGTGCTCTGCAACATCCTTCTCTTCTTTCCTGGTGGGGAGATCATAGACAAGGACAAGATCACTGAAGAGGTGTGGTACTTTGGAGGAATTCTTGGCTCTGGAGTTTTGGTAAGTGCTTTTTATTTATGACAAATCTTTAGCACCATTCCACTTGTAATATTTACGTTCTATGTCAGAGGCATCATACACTGATAAAAAACGGTGTGTTGAATTTACTCAATTTTATTTTGTCAAGTGGTTGCGCGAAATTAAAATCATCAAGAGCCAGATACCTTTTTTAATGTTGACTATACTGTACATCTACACTGATGGTGCAGTGGTACACTCGGCTGATTTGTGTGGAGGCAGCGTGGGATCAGCTCCCACGCAGTGATGGTGTGGATGTGGGTGTGAAGGGTTATTCATCTCTATATGTGCCCTGTGACTGGCAAGTAGTTCAGGGTGTAATCTGTCTTTGCCCAAAGTCAGCTGGGAAAGGCTCTAGCAATCGTGACCCCGTGCAGTGTTGAAAACGGATGGATGAAAAATACATCTACTTTTATCATAGAAAATTTTCTAAATTTAAGTGATTCTATTTTGTGCCACCCCTTGACAAAATAAACCTGGATAAAAATTCAACACACCATTTTTTTGTATACTTCTTGAGCTTCAGCATTTGTCCTTTTTTTCTGTTCATTTATGTTTTGTTGTGATCCAGCTTTATTTTGACTTCTGATTTCTCTAGACCTGATCTTACTTCTCAAATTATCTTCCCTGTGTTACTTTTGGATATGTATTTACCATGAAAAAAAAATCAATAAATTGTGCATTACTTGGTACAGACACAGCATTCATCATGGTGAGTATGTGTTTGAACGTGTGTATGTGTTTGCGTCTATGCAATATTCTGAACAATGCATAGGAAACTTCGAACTACTACTTAAAACTACTATAATATGTATTCGAACACAGCTTTGTCTTTATTGATGGCAGATGATTTTCCCTGCCCTGGTCTTCCTTGGTCTGAAGAACAATGACTGCTGTGGTTGCTGTGGCAATGAAAGCTGTGGGAGGAGGTTTGCGGTGAGGTGTTTCATGTTTCCAGTTCCGTCCATAGAAATGTTTATTGTGGTGATTCTGAAAAGCCAATAAATTATCTAAAAGGCTGCAACCACTGTTCTTCCAATTTCCTGGCAAGTTTTCTCACTTGAGCAAAATTGTAAACTTGGGTTCATTCACAGTTCATATCTATGAAATAACGGCTTGCTGTATACAAAATAGTGGAAAATGGAAGGTCAAACACAGTTTGCTTAGGGATGCTGGTCAATCTCAGGTTTGTTCATATTTAGTACAGGGCACATATTACAGAGATCCCTCACTTACAGGACCCGGCCGCTATCAGTGAAAAGCCACGAAGGAGGGTTCCCCCCTACACTTTGTGTCAGTGTATGTGAGCTATACAGTATAGAAGGAGGGTTTGCCCCCCCCCACCCCCCCTTACACTTTGTGTCAGTGTATGTGAGCTATACAGTATTCTACAGCAGTACACGTATTTACTTAAATCTTTATTTATAAAACCTTATACAGTAATTAACATTCATCAGCATTGCCTTCTGAGAGAGGCAGAGAGACTTGTGTTGGAGGAGTAGAAGGTGGCTCTCACTTTTACGCTCTGACGGTAGAGCCGCAATTAGCCTCCAGCTAGCTCCCAACCAACTATCCCCGCGCAGCCAATGTGTTTGTGACACGACAACTAATCGGTGTTGATGAGGAGGAGGCGAAGAGAGACGTGCTGCTGTCTTCGGACAAGCCCAGTCACCATTGGCATCATTAGGCCTATTTTAGGGAGGCTTCAGCCTCCCTAAAAATGTCTTTAGCCCCCCTAAATAATTTCATTGCATTATTTAAAAAAAAGTATTATTTATTTTTCCTGTACTTTTGCTAATATATTGCATCAAATTCAATGTAATGTGGCCATTTTAAATTATATTTCGATAACCTGCCATTATTGTAATATTAATCTCCCAGGATTCCTGAACGCAACAGGTGTTGCGTTAGCATTTGACGTGTCTGTCACCATCTCCACATCAAATGCTAACGCAACAACTGACAGTTCATTGCCGAAAGTCAGGTTGAGTCGACAGCATGGATATTCACAGTTTTTTAGAAAGGTAAATTAAGTATTCAATGCATCCATGCTGGTAAAACTAGTGACTATAGTCCGCTAAAATATCTCCAGTAACAGCAGAAACTGCACTGTAACAAGTGTTCACTTTTGGATAAATTAAGGTGGTGGCAACCAGTTTAGGGTGTCCCCCGCCTACTGCCCGAAGACAGCTGGGATCGGCTCTAGCATGCCCGCGTCCCGAGTCAGGATAAGTGGTCCAAATAATGGATAGATATATTACAATATATGCATATCACAACCAATTTCAAATGAGAAAAATAGAAATTGAAATAGTCATTGGCACCATTGAATATTGCATGAAAATACTTACCTTTGAACAGAATATTATAAGTGCCGTAACAGTTTAATGAAAATACAGAATGTTTTTAAATGTAATGTTTCTTTTCAAGAGGGGTTTTTTTTCCCATTTTTAATGCAAGCTTGTTGAATGTATATATTAAGAAAATAATGTTGAAATAATTTCCCCTTTTTCTTTTTTTTTTTTAATCGTATGATTATTCAAATATCAATTCTCACCTCCCTCTCCTAATAGATGCTGAATTCCATACTGTTTGCAGCTGTGGGTCTTGTCGGAGCCGGTTACTCGGTTATAGTTTCAGCTGTTGCCATTAACCACGGACCCAAATGTCTGACTCTAGTAAACGAGACACAAACGTGGACTTATCCCTTCAACGATGGGTATGACGTTGTTTGTTGGCCTAAAGATATATAGTGAATAGTTATTGATCATATAGAATTCAGCCATATACTGCATATTACAACACAGACGTGAGAGAATTACATTTTGTGAATGTGCAATGTCATCCACAGAAACTTTTCATGCAGATGTTTTTTTTTTTTTTTTTTTTTAATCAAATGAGATACTTCCGCTCTTTAACTAATGAACTCAAAGGCACCAGTGGAGATGCAGTTTTACATGAACTTTGCATGTTCAATCAACATCATTATTGAGGAAAAAAGTGCCAAAAAGAATTTGCGGAATTTAAGTCACGGTGGCATCAACTGACCTGTACACCCTCCAAAAATCGTAATGGGGCCTTTGCCTGTCTGTTTTAGTAATATTTTGTTCTTGGGTGATTTATGTGATAACAATAGCAAAGCAAAACCATCATAAAACAGGGGTGGCCAACCAGTCAGAGACGAAGAACCATTTTTTTTACTGTGTTACTGCAAAGAGCCACATTATACCCTTCCTCGCGCGCGTGCGTGCGTGCGCGCGTACACACACACACACACACACACACACACACACACACACACACACACACACACACACTTTTTTG